TGTAAATTGTTGAGTTAAAACAACTTCATTAAAGATACTTTTAGCATGGTCTATATAGTTTAGGTTACAAATCTGTATGATTTTATTAAAAGATCTCAATTAATTACGAGGGTCAAGTAATTTATAAATAAGTTACTTTTCTTTTCAGCTATCAACAAGAGACTTTCTTTCACACACCTAACATAAATATCTAAAAAACTTATAGATAGTATTCGATAAACAACCAAGCTAAGATACAATTTGAATCTTTTACCCTTCTAGCTACTATATAGAATCTCCAAAAAAATATTGCTATATTATATACTTCCCTCTAACAACAAGGCAAATCATCACGACTTGATTTTTCTTTTAAATAATATATACGTACTATCACGATAATATTTTAATTTCAGTAATTTGTGTCTTGTTTTGTAGTTAGATGTAATTAAAACACCACAATTACAATCTTACATCAATTTGTTTACAGAAAATATTGATCCAACGCAACATAGCTGTCTGAAGAGGGCACATGTGACTATATGAGATCCCATAACCGACCAAAAAGGATAACTGTACTGTAAGCCCATTAAGATCTAGACTGACAACTTATAGTCCAATAAGAGCCCAAACTTGTCTATCTCTTCTTTCTTTTATCAAAATTTATGGGATAATTGGTCAAACTTTCAAAGTCAACTTAGTAGTGGAATATTTTTTTATCAAAATTAATTTCCAGAAAAATGCTTTTAAAAATAGTAATATTCGTTTGATTAATTTTTATAGGATTTACATATGCTACGTATTGTGCACAAAGAATAGTTACGTCCCTTATATATTTTATGTGATGTGGTTTGACTGAATATGAGGTTTGAATAATATCAAAGACTTTGTAATGTTTCAAAATTACTCTTAAACTAAATGAATTCTAAATAGAAGACTACACCTTTGTGGGTAATTTTTGACAAATAAGTGGATTTGTAAAACGACAATAGTGTCATTAGATATTTGCTTAATAAAAAAGATGTCATTCTTTTTTGGACGGACTAAAAAACAAATATGTTATATAAATTAAAGTCGAGAGAGTACTACACTATGAGTGTGCACTTCTTAAAAAAGGGATTGTTTGGTAGTTGGATAAAATTAAACAAAGTCATCCATGTATTAAATTTCATATAATTTATATGTTGTGTAGGTAGGTTATAAGAAACAAATTGTTCATATATAAAATAAATATGATTTATGGTTGATGGTTTAGAAATTCATATTTCTAAGGCCTAACTCATCGGTGGCCCCCTAAACTTGGCACGAAGTTTCGCTTAGGCACCTCAAGTGGGCGATGTTCATTTTAGACACCTCATGTAGGGTCTCGCTGTGTCATTTTGACACTTTTTGCTGACTAAGCACAGTACGTGTGCTACACGAATTTTGAGCGCGTCAGAGACTTTTTTTGTAAATATTCTGAATTTTTTTGTAAATATTTTCTTCTCCTTCTTCTTCCTTGCTTTCTCCCTTCCATCTTCCCCACCTTCTACCATCATCCATCACCACACAACTTTTTTAAAAAATTCTACAATATTTTACTAGGTTACACTCTTTGATTCTTTCATCTTCTTTGAAAATCGAATTTGCATCTTGATTTCATATTCAAAAACAAAATCGATTTCAAGGGAACAAAAAAAGAAATCAACTTCTTTCAAATGGAAAAACTGATTTACATTCTTACCTTCTCCATTGAAAATTAAATTGATTTCAAGGAATAAAAAAGAAATAAAGAACAACCTCCAATGAAAAAAAAAGAAATTTATTTTACATATCCTTCATTGTAAATCCCAATCGTAGTAGCACAAGAAATCATCTTCTTTTAAATGTCATATACAAACTTTTCGATTTGGTATGATTTCCCTTATTCTCCAAAATGTATTTTACTTTGTAAACTAACCTATGTTCTTGCCTTTTTTATGGAGACGAACAGATGAAGGGGAAGGAGGCGCAAGAAGAAGAAAAGAGGTGGGGGCATGGGGTTTGGGATCTGGAAGAAAGAAAAAAAGAAAGTAAAATTGAGATTTTTAAAAATAAAATAAAATTTCCACGTGTCACATACCAATTCGTTTATTTTTCCACATAAGAGGCGTCTGGATGTTCGCACTTAAAATGCGGTCTTGAAAAATATAAAAAGTGTCAAAATGACACAATGAGGCTTGACATGAGGTGTTTAAAATGAACAAAGACTAGTTAAAGTGTCCAAGTGAAAGTTGGTGCCAAGTTTAGGGGGCCACCGATGAGTTAGCCCTATTTCTAATACATGTATAAGTTGTAAGAAAATTTATATATTATTTTATGTAGGATTGAAAGTGCAATAACTAATATATGATTAATTAATCATTGCATAACTAATAACTGCACAAAATAATACATAGATTCACTCATAAGTAATTCATATATTACTAATACCTGTATAACTCTAATTATGAGGGAACCTATGTAAAGTATTATTATTAATGTATATTTTTTTCAATTTTTTCATGTTTGAGTTGATCAAAATATTTTGGAGAACAATAAATTAAGTTAGTACTTCACTCACATTCCCACCTTATTTACCCTAGTCTTTTTCTATATTACATATTAATATTGTTAGAATAATATGTTTTTACTTACATAATTATGTAATTTTCCAACGAAGAACATCGGAATGAACCCAATGTACCATAATATATATATATATATATATATAGTTAGATAGTGCGGAATTAAGGACCACAAACGCAAAATGGGAATTAATTCCAAGAAGCAGTTTTTCTTCCATATTTGGATTTTCTTAATTAAGTGCTATATGCTTTAGCAAATGGCCTACATTGTAGGGAAGAAGAAAGCCACAGCCATATACATTTCTAAGTAAATTAATTATTTTACCTAATTAAGCTCCCTATTCATGTTGCTAAGTGGAGTTGGTATCTAGTATTAATGTAGATATGTTAATAATTATTTACTCCTTAATGGCTATGCAAACATTTCATTTGCCCACGAATGACCACAAAAATTAATTAATTACTATCTTAGCTTTTTAAAACATAGTATCTGATTTGACATAAACTATAAGTAATATATTTAGCTTATTCTTAATATTTGCATGTCATGTAATATGATGTTTTGTTGGTCCATCTCTTTTTGAGATTTAGTGCTACTACTTTTGCTTTACTACTTTAAGCAACTATATTTGTGGAGCGTGGCATGTTTCCATTAATTATAATCTTTTGATATGATGCCATAATCTATCAGGAAAAAGAAATAAATTAAATCAACAACGCCTAATTAATTAAAATTTCAATTGATGAGTGCCACAAAAAGGAAAATTTTGGTTAATTACTCCCTCTATCCACTTTTAATTGTCATGTTACGTTTTTCGAAAGTCAATTTATCTAATTTTCAAAGTTAAATTAGATTACATTAATTTAATGTTTTAAACAAAAAATTTAGATATTCAAAAACTATACGAAAAGTACTATAAATTCCATTTTTTGCATATCAATATGATGAAAAAATATATCGTAAAATATTAGTCAAAGTTATTATCGTTTGACTCTAAAAAAGAAAATTATGACAATTAAAATTGGACGGAGATAGTATTATTATATAAGAGAGAACTTTAGAAACCTTCTCTCTCCGATTATGCTCTCTCTCTCTCTCTCTCTCTCTATATATATATATATATATATATATTCTAATTGTATCAAAATACTTGTCATGTTTTGTTTTTCTAAAGCCAACTTAACGAATCTTTCAAAGCTAAATTTGATTAGATGATTAATTCAATGATATTTTCAAATCAAAATTAAATTATGATATTTGAAAATTATACAAAAAGCGTTATAAGTTATCGTTTTTCTTAGGTTATTAGATTATGTACTTTGACACTTGAAAAGTGAAATATGATAAGTATTTTGAAACAAATTAGAGCGGCTAACATATTTTAAAGGTATTTCACAAATTAAAGCGCGTGTAAGAGAAATTTACTAGTAATATATTTGGTGGAACATATGACTTTTTTCTTTTGCAATCAATTAGAAGTTTGTTGCCTCATATAAATTCATGATAAACTTTATCAAATTTGCTTTAATTTTTCATCAGAAGTAGGCCGATTGAATTAGACCTAACATAGGTCCAATGGGTGAAAATCGAGAGAACATTGTACGTATGTTTTAATGAAGTAATTTTTCACGTGGTAATTGACTATTTGTGGCCGGTTTTCTTGTACTAAAAAACGAGTGAGGAAGACTCACCATTATAATTGACTACAACTTTAGTGATGCTGACAGCTTTTACTTTTTGGGTTCAAATTTGTCTTTTGAATTTTGCAAAATTATTTGTATTTGTCATGCAAATAAATAGATAGCTTGCCGTAATAAAATTGGTTGAAGTATGCCTTTAATCACTAACACCACCAGTTTTTCGATGTGTATGTGTATTTATATATATTGGGATTTGGGAAAATGATCAAATGTTTTTCTTCATTGTAGTAATATTGTGGTAGTCAAAGTGGAGTCGGTTAAATGGTAATAGAGAGAAATAATAGATATAGAAGTATGGTATATAATATATATATATTAGATGTATGTGTTACACTTTTATACGTAGTTAAAATTTTTTTAATGTATATATATATGTATTAGATATTGCAACTCTTTTACTTTTTTATGTGTTTACTTATTTATATTTTAAACTCACTAGTGAAAATCCTTGTTTCGCGACTAATCCTAACTTAATATTTATAGACTCATATTTTACTCCTATTAATTATACCAACGCAATAGGAACAATAAAAAAAATGTGTTTTTAATTTGCAACATTAGATCCTGTTATAGACTAATTATTAATTGTTTACTAATATATTATTCTACTTGGAAGTTAACATCAGTTCTAATAAAGAAGGTTAATTTGGTGGTAATGCACTACGCACTTCAACTTTTTTTTTCTTTTGTTTTTTGTCTATAAAAGGAGACATGAAAGAGAGGGAACAAATAAGGAATTAAGATCAGTAGCTAAAATGATTCTCTTCTTCAGAGCTTTCTTCTTTCTTATAATTATCAGCTTTCTCATTTTCGTAGGAGCTCAAGCAAGAACTTTACTAGGTACTACTAATTTAATTTAATTATTCTTTAGTTAGCTACTTACATAATTTACAACATAAGTATTCATTAATTCTTTTTAGTTAATCCACTTGAAAATTAATATTATGGTGGGCTGCATGGAGAAAGTAATATAAATGTACAATGTTGTACTAGTAAGAAGATTAATATGGCACTTTTTTTTTTTTTTTTGAAACACTTCTTTTCTCATACTTATATCTACATCTACTTGAGGGGAATAATAATTAATCAACCTCTATATATACTCACTTCTTATTAAAAATAATAATAAAAAAAATCAGTTCAGTGCATAAAGTAACCCTTGTTAGCATGGTCCAAAAAATCTCACTCTAAAGGGTGTGACATAAGCAACATTAGAGATTGCTTCCACAGTTTGAACATGTATATCTAACCTCAGCGTTGCTCCAAGGCTTCCCTTCTCTCTATATATATAATTGAGTACTCTAATTAACTTGAGAAGTTAATAAATCTTGCATACTTGGTTCAGGAAATCACCATGGGATGGTGAAGTTGAAGTTGGGAAATGGTAATTATGGAAGGACACCATATATAACACCTACACCACCAACATCATCTCCACCAACAAATCAGGAAATAGTTAATGGAAGACATGATCATGAATTACCACCTCCTTCTCCCAAGCATGAACCAATTATTGGCCAACTCACAACAATTAGTACTAGTCCTCATCATGACACCGCCGCGGCGCCGCTCATGATTACAGTTGGTGGGAGGCACGATCATGTAGCGGCACCACCACCACCAGAGCCACAAGATGAGCAAAGGCAGATCATTATCACATCCTCTTCTTCTACTTTGCCTCTTCAGGCTTCCTATTAAGTGTTGAAGTGGACCTCAGCCCCTACTCTGATACCATGTTGAAGTTAAGCCTTTAAATGAGATGATCACACACGTCAACGTTAAGCTATATACACTCTACGTTATGGGGACTTTATAATATAAGTATAGTATTTTTTATTTTATGTTATAAAGTAGCGAGAATATATATATAATCTGGTTTTAGTTCACTTGATGAGTTAATTAGCTAGCTCTCAAGTCTCAAGAATAATATGTGTAATAGACGTCTTGTAATGGAGTAACTACGTAGTTAGTAAATGAATTTGAGGGAGTGATATATGGTTTTAACTTATTATAATTATAAAATAATGCAGTATTGTTATCAAACCAGAATGTATATTTTTTTTTTTTTGTTGAGATCGATATTTATTCACGATTTGTAAATATTTGAGCAACATTTAATAATATATTTCCTTTGTTTCAAATCTATGTGCGTGATACTATTTGATTTGATACAAAGTTTACAAAATAAGGAAGATTATTGAAATATGTGGTTTAAAATGATATTCTTTAGACCATTTATAGTGCGACTACTAATTATTTCCATTACGAGTAAATGAGAGTATTAAAATTAAATTATGAGCAACTTTCACATATAGCAAACATAAAAATTATATTTGTATGTTATAACTATAGTTTGCATAATTGCGCTCCATAGCAAATTGTATGCTTGTTATGGAGCTTTTAATTTGTATAATTCGTTAGATACATCCAATTTTATACAAATTATTTAGTTTTGTATAAATTCATTTATACATTGTAATTTGTATAATTATATGTGTATAAGACGAAAATATATATATTTGTATATACACTTTTCTCTCGCTTTATACAAACACAAACACATTTTATATCGAAATGTATAAAATGACTAATTGTATATCGAAAATGGCTAGTATACCGAATCAAATTGCAAAAAAATGGGATGTTTGCTGCGAATTACAAATAAAATAAACTATGGCTATAGCTTTTAATTTGAATTAATAATTTGCTATTTCATACAATTTTTCCTTAAATTATTTCCAATTATAAGAAGCTAACATTCTTTTTAAAATGAATTAGCAATAATTACATTAATATTATTACATTTAGAGTCATTAAAGACTTAAGTAGTTAAGTTACATTTATATAAAGTGTTACCCATATTTATCATTGCCGCTTAAGGAAATAGCGAGCTTACTCCTATAAGTCCTAACGTACAAATTAAAAATGTCTTTTTTTTGCTGCATTGGATCCTCTCATTGATATTCAATTTAAATAAAAATTTTGTTCAATCAGTTCCGTTAAATTTTAATATATTCTACTTAGATGATTAAAAGTACAAAGATTACACTATCTAAGTTTTATTGTGAATTTGAACATAAAATATTCAAGTTTTTTAAAGTAAATTTTGCATATTTAGAGAGTGTATAGAAGTATGCAAGTCAGAATAATTCAAAATATTAAGTGGCACATGAACAAATTCTGGTCAAAGAGATTCCTTTGACTTCTCATCACATAAAGTTGGAAGAGTGAGTACTATTCTATATTTAAAATTAATTTAATATTAAATTTTATATATTATTCTTATAAATTGTCACTAAGATCAACCTGCACCTAAACACACAAATATTTATGGCTTATTTATAAATCACTTAGTATAGGATAAAAGTAATGAATGAATCAAAGTTACTCCGCTTGTCTATCTTTACTTGTCTATTATATTATTTTGGAATGTTCAATCAATACTTGTCCAGTTTATAAAAGGGTAAATCACATAAATATGCTATATTAAAGAAATATTTACCATCTATGACAATATAATTTTTCTAACTAAATATAATAAATTTTTGGAATTAAGAATTGTACAGTCGCTTGCCTCTTTCTCTACCCTTTTTCATCTTCCTTCGCTTTTTTTTATTCTTCTTTTTCTTTGTCTCTTTTTCTATTATTATTATCTTCCTCCTCTTTTTTCTTTCTTTTTAAAAAAAAACTTATTCTTCTTCTTCTTTGAAATTTTCATATAAATAACTATCTTCAAATCAATTTTTGCCCATATTTAATTATTTTTACCCAAAAATACGACGGAAAAAGAAATGGAAAGATGAAAAATTGTACAAAATCATATTTTCAAGCAAAAATTTCAAATCTGTAAAATTATAGCAACAAGAGTTCACCATTAATGGTCATTATAAAGCTTCAAATTTTGAATTCATTATTTGAAATTTTACGAATTTGTGATTAGCTTGGATAGATTGTTCCTACAAATAATTGAAAATGTCGTTTGAAATTTATATCTCAATTTTAAGAGGATTTGGTTAAGTTTATAATTGATTTTAGGAGAAATATTAGATTGAAACTCGAAAAAGGTGAAGTTTATGGAACTGTATGACAATTGAATTAAAGTTGTATTAGATATGTTTCATAATTATATTAAAATTATAGTAAAATCATGAACAATACATTTATAATACATATTACAAACTTCACTCTTTTTTAGTGGCCGTATCAGCCAAAATAATTTAAGTAACACACTCGTAATACATTTATAATATAGGAACAATACATTTGTAATACATATTGCAAACACCGCATTTTTTCTTAGTGATACAAATCAAAATAATTTATAAGATATATATAATACATTTTTTCTTCATGAATAGTACATTTATAATACATATTGCACACTTCACTCATTTCTTAGTGATACCAACAAGAATAATTTAGGTAACACACTAATAATACCTTTATAAGACACCCACATTACATTTTAATACATATTGCAACCGTCACTCATTTTCTTAGTGATAAATTAAAATAATTTAAGAGACACATATAATATAAGTTTTATTCATAAGCAATCCATTAAAAATACATATTGCAACTATCACTTATTTTCTTAGTGATACAAATCAAATAATTTATAAGACACATATAATATAATTTTTATTCATGAACAATACATTTCTAATACATGTTGCAAACTTTACTCTCTTCTTAATGATACCAACCAAATGATTTACGTAACACGGTTATAATACATGCACACTATATTTTTAATACATATTGCAAACATCACTCATGTTTTTAGTGATACAAACCAAAATAATTTATAAGATATGTCACACCCCTATTTTTCCCCAAACGAAGTGTTTGAAAAATAGAGTTTCTCCAATTAAATTGACATTTTGAAAAGGGATTATTTTTATTTCAGAGTCGCCACTTGGAATCGAGTTTTGGTGTTCCAAGTCACCTAATTTTTACCCCTAATCAAAAAGAAGTTGACTCTAATTTTTAATGGTCTGCGAACTAGAAATATGGATAAGAAATTCTATTGACCAAGGGGAAGGTGTAAGGCACCCCTCGAGTCCCGTGTTTCTAGCACAGTTGCTTCATTGACTTATATCTTGTCTTGACTTAGTTTTTGGATATAGTATACTTATCAGCTATACATTTACTTATGTCCCACCTTCTTTGATTTATTGTAACTATCTTGTTTAGATTTTTTAGAGTCCGGAGAATTTTAGTATTGTCGTTTTAGTGGGAGTCGATATTTGAATTATAATAGAAGGTAAACTTCTACGGGATTTAGGATTAATTTTAGAAAAAGAAAATGTTAAAGAGGTTGAAACCAATTTCTTGAAATTTTTCTTTTTCTTATTTTTCTTCTATTTTTTTTTGCACGTTACTTTTTGTAGTTTTTACTTTCATTCATTTTATTTTTTTTAACATTCTGTTTCTTCTTACTTTTATTTTATTTTTATTTGATTTTTGTCTAACAAAATATTTCTTTTTCTAATTTTCTTCTATTTATTTTTTGCACGTTATTATTTTTTTTGTAGTTTTTACTTTTTTTTTTTTCTTTACATTCTTCTTCTTCTTACTTTTTTTTTTATTTGTTGTTTTTATCTAACAAAAATGTTTTCTTCTTTTTTATTTAAATAATTTTTTGGCTAAGTTTTGTTTTCCCCTTTTTTATTTTTTACCTTTTCTTTATTTTTTGCTCTTTATAACTTTTCATCTTTTGTTTCTTCTGTTTTTGTTTTAAATGTTTATTTATTTTATTCTTACTTTCTTTTTAATGATCTATTCCTCTTCTTTTTTTTATTATCTTCATCTTTCCATTCTGCACTATTTTGTTTTATTATTATACTTTTCTCTGCTCACGTTTTCTTTTTTTATTTTTTGTATATTATTTTTTAATTAATTTTTTCCTTTAAACTAATTGAGAGAAAAATAATACACGCAGTGATATAATAATTTTTCTTCACCAAATGATGATAGTGTGAAATTACTAATAAAAGAACTATCTCACGTTGATGAATTAATGACTCACTTAAATGAACTAATGTTCATCTCCTCCATTTTTAATATTTCGGATACGATAAAAATTATTCTAATAATTAATTGTCTCCATAAGTATGGCAATATTATTTATTTATTAAACTCCAGAAACTCTAAATGATAACTAATACAGAATCTCTAACCAATTTACACGTAATTAAATTAAAGTCATAAACGAAGTTGTCAATTTGTACCATCAAATAAATGTACATAAACATGTTGAAATAAAACTAGGAGTAAACAACAACCATCTTTGGATCAAATTAGTTGATTAAATTAACGTCAGGTGTAAAAATAATTCGATGAGCAAATTTAAACAGTAACAATTCATGCAATCAACAATATGATATGCGTCATAAAATAGTGGCATATAACAATACATGTAATTTTAAGGACTTCATAACATCATAATCGAATTCAGAACAATTATTTCATTGAACTATATAAGGGATTAGAATTACCTTTTCGTAAAACTTAATTCCAACAAAAGAAACCGCTACAATCTACTGATTTCTAAAGTTAATTATAATTAACTTTAAGGAGCCACGAACTTGAATCCACGAACAAAAATCTATCTGACTTAAAGTGTATATGCTTTTTTTTTGTGTGCACTCTATTCCATATAACTGATGATGGTGATCTCTATCTCCCCCTTTTGTACGTTTGTGTTCTTATATATATAGGATAGGTTTTTTGCTTTTTTGCCAATTTTCTTGGTACGTGTGTGTGTGGGTCTCCTTTTGTTATTGACTTTTCTTCCTTTAGTCATGTGAAGTGGGAGTGTAGAGAATTGTGGGAAAGTGGGAGTGTGGGGGTGTATGGTATTGTTGTTGTTTATTTATTTATTTATTTTAAAAAGCAGCAAACTGTTTTTGCTCTTCTTTTCCTTACGTGTAGTATGTTTTTGGGTAGGTATAGGAGTGGGGTAGGTTTGTTAGATTAATTAGGTTATTTTTTATTTACTTTTTAGTTTTAGTTTTATT